CAGCTCACTCTCATCCATCCTCTTGTTGTTTTTAACTTTATAGGCTGCTGCTAATATTGTAAGATGATTTCTCATTTTCCCACTATTGCTACTGTTGTTGTCATTCTATTGTGCATCACTGCTCAATGCACAGCTCAAGGTACTGACTGTTCTGCTTTAGCCAGTGCTGGTAACTGCAGTTTTTATGATTGCTTGAGCACTAAATTCAGTTGCGGACGAAGAGATTATCCTCTTTTCCGTGGAAGACGCTACTGTCGCAGATTCATGAGGCAATCAGAGTCCTTCACAACAGCAGTAAGTAGTCTACACTGATTGCAATGATGCATGCCCCACAGCTTAATCAACTTTGTTGAAAGCAAGTTAGTGGTTAATTTGATAAAATTTTAGTGGGCAACAGAGTTGCCATGTAGATTTAATCTATTACCTTATTGTATTTTTTAAAACTCTAATTAATGTTACTTTATCAACCTCCTCCTCCTTTTCCTTATTTACTGTATTCTAGCCTTTGTTCTTTCTTGGTTTTTTTGTAATTAAGCTGGCTTGCCAATCTGTTTTGGAGCTATGCTCCACAGTATAACTCTGTGCCCTAGCCTGATTTGATTTGTATTCTATTTTGTTTTATTGTAATTGTGACATTTTGGTCATTTGTCAAAAAATTACCATTAAAGTTGCTTTCAACAACTAGTATTGGGCAGCTTTGATATCTGATATCTTTTTTGTAAATATTTCCTAGAAAAAACCCTACATGATTCCACCATATATTTTGTATAATTACAAATTATTTATAATATCCTTGTTGTATATAAATAGTTGTAATTATATACTAATTAGAAAGCTAAAACATCCTTTTAAGAAAAATACTTCTAAGAAGGCAATTTATAATGGTAATTTTTTGTAATGCCATTATCTGAGGATAAAGCCACTAAAATATTTGCATGAAGATGTATAAAATACATTTGTAGTAGAGTTGTAGATTGACACATTGCAATTGTGTGTTTACCAAAACAATAAAATACAATGCTTTAAATATATGAATTTATAAATATAACTATTTTGGGGGGTTAGTTTGATGTACTGTCAAAAAAATTCAGTCAACAGAGTTGCTATAATTATAGATTTAGAAAGTTATCATTAATATTGCTTTGAACAAGTAGCAGCACTAGTAGGTAGCTTTGATATATGATGTCCTTGTGTGTATAAATATTTCCTAGGAAATCACTACATTATGTAGCCTAATTAAATTACAAATTCCTTGATATCCTCACAATAAATTCTGTGAAAAAGAAGACATCCTTTTAAGAGTATTTCTTAGAAAGCAATGTATGATCAAATAACTCTATGTTTAAACTACATAAATACCATAAATTTCATAGTAGAGATCAAGCATGAATTTACCAAAGCATGTCTTCATACATGAATTTATTATTATCTTAGGGTCAGACATGGATTACTAATGTCCATAGATGCTTGATGCAGTCTATTGTCAACAGTGCTCTCTATAGTAATGCAAATACTGATTGTAGCGAGTTTGGAAATCTTGAATTTGAAAATCGTCCTCAATGTTATACTGATAATGGGTTCTGTACAGATATATTCTTATCACCTCAATGTCAGAACCTTAATCAAATTGAAAATAGAATTTTTTATGATTACAAAAAAAGTAATTGGAGTAGAACATTGATAAATCAGGTAAGAGAGTGGTAGTTGAGTCTATTATAAATGTGAAGTAATAATTACTCCTTATTGTTTAGCAGAAATATAAATGACTTATTATTATTATTATTATTATTATTATTATTATTATTATTATTACTATTAATATTACCATATAAACATAAAGACTTTAATTAATATTATGAGAAAAAAGAAGAAAGAAAAACTATTATTATTATACATTATTATTATTATTCTGCTTTTATAGATTAAAACAACAACTGCTTCATGCCCTTCCCAGATTTCTACATTCCTTACTGATGCTCCACAGTGCGATAGGCCTGACACTTCTCTTGTATCTGTTATACAAAACTATTTAGGTATGTACTTTAGTACTGTATAAAATTATGATATTCTTATCTTTGTACAGATTGTACTGCAAGAGCTTTTGATTTTATTATTTTATTGGATGCATCTGGAAGTGTTACAGCTCAAAACTTTGAGATAATGAAAAACTTTGTTGCAAACATGCTGTCTAACTTTACCATTGGACCAAATGACACTCGTGTTGGAGTCATTCGTTTTGCTGACACTCCATCAATTGTTATCCAATTAGGTTCCATTAATACCTATTCACAATTGGCTACTGCTGTCAGAAGCATACCATACACTGGAGGATATACTTATACTAACTTAGCATTGGATCAATTGACTGCAGCATTTGCTACTGCTCGTGTTAGTGAAGGTGTCCCTCGTGTAGTTGCTGTTCTTACTGATGGATTGTCTACCGTCCCTTCAGCAACAGTGCAATCTGCTCAAGCTGTCCATAATGACAAGATTAATGTTTTCTCTTTTGGTATTGGAACTGGTGTCAGTAATGCAGAGTTAGTTACCATTGCTTCAGATGGTCAACAAGGTGTTTTTACTATCAGTGGTTTTTCATCTGATACTTTTCAGGCTGTTTTGATACAATTACGAGTATCAACATGTTCATGTAAGTCACTAATTTTTTATAATATAAATTTTACTTATAAAATCAATTTATAGCTTCAACAGAATCTGAGACTGGAAAAGAAATTGCCACTACCCTTAAAAAAGGAGCATCTCGTTCGTTACAGTATGTATTTCCATCAATGGGAATGACACTAAAAATTGATATTACAGTGGGAAATTTGGTGGTTCGTGGATCGTTTAATGTACAAAACCCAGATGCACTAACACAAGACTTCTCTGTCATGAGCAATGGAAATGGCATTGATTATTTCATTAGTCCGCAATTATATATACAGTCAACTACTGATGATGATGATGATGATGATGGAAGCCGTAGAAAGAGGCAGACATCAATGCCTAATGTGTATTTGTCTATTGTTGGATTGAATGATATCAATTCATTTGCATTAAATACTACTTTTGCTGATACTACTTCACCAATACCTGGTAAGTGAGTAATTTAAGAATAATGATTACTTTTGCTTTGTTGTATGAGTCCTTGTTTTATAATTTTGTATTATTTTGTACTCTTTTAAGCCTGGTTTACACTTGACACAAAACGCAAGGCAAATGAACACAATAATTGAAATTTGACTAATTTTGCGTCAACTTCAAAGTGTTTTTGCATCAAAAGGTCAAATTGCTCACACACTTTTTGACCGTTTCGTCGAATGTAAACCTAGCTTCAATGTTGCCTGTTCTGCTGCTTGACTGCTTGTATAGTACCATTTGTTTTTGGTTTTCCCACAAATAGCTACAGGTGTTGTTAATTGTTACTACAACTCCTATACTTTGATCATTTTCAACTGTTTTTCATATTGTAGCCCTTTGATAATTGTATGCATACCAGGGCAACGGAAAATAATTATTATGTACCATGTTGTTTATTATTCTTTAATGATCTATTTAATAGATTGCTCTGGCATATGTAAACTCAAACTTCTAAGAATGACATGTGAGGTTATGAGGATGAATGGTGATCATGTACCAGCTCCATGCAGTAACTGATTAATTTCTATTTTTTAGTCTTTTTTATTGTGGTAGTGAAATACTTCATTTTTTTTTCAAGTAGTCAAGTAGACTTAGAAATTTATTGTAGAGAAAATGAGAAAAAGGATAATTATTATTACCATAAACAATGTTATTATTATTTTTGTCATGGATTATTTATTTTTATTCTCAAAAAATAATTTAATGAAAAACTAGTGAAAGCAAAAGTGAAGGAGAGGTAGAGTGGAAAAAGGGATAAGAAATGAATAAAAGCAAAATAAGTTGCAAAGCATGTATAAAGTAAATAGTAGTCATGGTGCCACTAAGGCTGATGTCAAACAGTAAAATAATTGCAGGCTAATTGCAGCTACACATGCATATAGTTTCCTTTGAAAGAAGGAGCATAATGTTTGCATACAAACCAAAAAGATTTGGTTTGTATGCATTCTCCTCCACATATACTACAAGCATAGGTGTAGGAAAGTGGGGGCTAGGGGGGCTGAAGCCCCCCAATTTTTCAACAGGAGGGGTTTAGCCCCCCAACTTTTGATAGATGAACAATAAGAAATACCATCACATGGCTTTATTTCAAGTTGTTAGTAGGTTATTATTAGCTTGAAACTCATCATTCAGTTAAATGGGCATGATGTAGCAATAACAAATGGCAGGAATTAGGCATGCAGTAGCTGTTTAGGCATGCAGTAGCTGTCGAGAGCACATATGACAGTACATATTTAGATGTTTTTATGTTCAGCCCCCTTCAGCTCCCCTAACTTTCGAATCATTCCTATACACCTATGTACAAGTAATACTTGTAGTCCATAATGAGGAGGAAAATGAATCTTTCATGGACTCCTGCATGTGTATTTAATGTAATATTAAACTTTGTGGATTGTTTAGTTTGTGGGTCGTTAAGTGTACAGAACCCAAATGCATGCACTAATACAAGAATTCTTTCATTAGGTAGTCTACCAGTGTTCTAGGCTCAATAACATGAGGAGCTAGCTGGTACTGTAGCATTATCATTTTTATAAAATTTTTATTATTGTTATACTGCATTAATTTTTTTCAAAGGAAGTGACGTCAGTGAGCATTAATTTTTTGTAAACATTTTGTCAGCTATTTTTGCTTTTAAATTTTGTGACTGCATTGTTCCCATTGATGCCAAATTTTTCCAAGCAGTAGTTCTCTCGGTACCGGGTATGCAGGGTTGCATATGTGTATGTTCATGAATTCATAGATAGTAGTATCTATGATGAATTGGAGGAGTCTTTGCAATAAATTCAATTAGTGACTCTACGCATGCGCAGTAGATTCCTGGCTCACCCCCGCCATTGTGTTGTGTACTCACGCGTCGCACGTGGCTAGCATGATGGTAAAGATGGAGATGATAACATTTTTCTGAAGAAGAATCTTTTAGGAGCGATTTAGGAGAGATGATCTCAATTTTGGAGTCATCAGATCCAGCCATTATTTATTGAGTATGTGGGCTATCGCAATTTTTATTCATTTATGGGACTTGTTTATTATTAATGTTTAGCGGCTGCACTGATTAAAATGATTGGCTAAGGAGGCTTCATGATTGGATTGTGGAAAAAGTTTTAAAAGAATCCGCTAGATACTTTGCCAAGTAGGAGAGTGGGTTAAGAAAAATTAAGATGATTATTTTATTTTTCATTTTAGATAAAGTACTTTAATGCTAGCGAGACTAGCTAGCGTCTTCGTCCAGCAAGATGTGGGCCGGTACGACATAGATATATGGGCACAAAACTACTTCAAAAACTGCTGAGAAGAAAACTATATTTATAGGTGAATGTTTTAACTTTTCATAGGCATTAATTGTGTCATTTTGTTGAACCCAATTATGGAATATTGATATTGATGTTTTCTTTTGTGTTAGATGTTGAACGATAATCTTAAAGATAGCCTGCCATCATTCGAGGGATATACCAGAGATTGAGTATCATTAGGATCTGATGTGGGAAAATTTCCACCTTTTGATGGTCAGTAAATAAGATAATATTAATATTATAGAAGATACTATTGTTATTGAAGATACTACTGTTATTATAGCACTGAAAATGTCGCGAACATGTGATGTGGGATTTGAATTCCATGAGAGAATATGAGACATAATTATACACATGTGCTTGGCCCACAAGTATAACTGACTTTGTTATCAGAACTGATTTTTATTTGAAGTTAATGTGGCAGGTCAGTTTAATATTCATACATTATTTTTTACTATTTGCATAATTATTCTTACCTTTAATATTAATTCCACATCATGGGAAAGTATTATATAAGACATATGCATTTGGCCTTTATTTGCTTAAAATATTATAAATTATAGCAAAATTTTGACGATACATGTACATTCTATTTTTTAACGCAATTATAAATCAGCTCATGTGATAGATGACGCTTGCCTGGGTTGTATCTTTTATTCTTTTTTGGTGAGAATCTTTCTTAATAGGTACTAATTGTTGCTTTTTTAATGCGCATGGATAAGCTAATGAAAGCATTTGATGGCCAGCTGGTCTTCTCCCAGCATCAGGTGTTGTTGCCTGATTTTTTGAGTTTGAATCTCATTTGTAGACTAGCATACGTGTACATGCCTTTGATCAACCTTTTATGGACTTGGCCCGAATTGGAAAGAGCATTCATTTCTAGTGGAGTGGACACGGTTACAGTCCCCATTGCCTTTGGCATTACAGCATTTTTTGGTTTAGCTTAATTAGTTATTAAGTATAGCCACATTGTTTTGAGGCAATAAACTTTCATGAATCAGGCTACAAGTCTTTTTTTGCGAATGAACTTTTGTGGTTCAAGTTTTATGAAGCCACACGCAAAAGAGCCATTTTATTAAAGCAAATGTCATTATAATTGTAAATTGAGATGGATAATTTTACAGAATTAAAATACGAAAAATCTGCAGAAACAGTGTCAATTATTTGTACTCGCGAAATTAAGCGGCTATACTACAAGCACTGTAAATCTGCAGTGTAATCTAACGTGAAGTTAGTGGCTGGCACTTACTATTAGTCGTATGAATATTATGCTTTTACATGTAGTCTGATGTACATGTAGAATGTACATGATGTATTTCATGCTATTGTATAGTAGAGTACCAAACAGAATACCTTATACATGTAAGTCGTTTTCTGCAAGGTACGCAATTTTCACGAATCTCACAGATGTCTTTATGAATTGTGAATGTATAATAAAACACATCACACCTCCGTTTAATTAACTTTGTCAAAGCCACACCTTTGTTATTATGACACTGCTTCAAGGGGTCGGTGACGGCCTCCAAAAATGTACCAAATTCAAAACCCATCCTGATTTTGACTGGATTTATGGGGGACTTTTTTGGATTTTTTGCTTGAATTTTTGATCATATAATAACTAGTATCCACCATGTTATTAAAGGTAATTAACCATTAATTAATTTAATTAACTATTTGTAATGGTTAATAAATCACTGACAGTAAATTCTTGAATTTTGTGACTGGATTGCCTTGGGTTCTTGCTTGGATTTTTTGGATTATATCTAGGATTATCTGGATTACTGGTGGATTTCTGTGAATTATTTGTTTTATATTGTATTATTGGATTCTTTTAATGAATTTTTGTGATTTATCAAAAAGTGTAGCAAATTTTTCCTTGTTGTGGATTCCTTGTGTTGCTCTGAACAAATCTACTGTTCTTCCTTATGTCAATGGTCCACTATGTGTGCAAGTTTTTCCTTCCTTCATTGCTATAGCGAGTAAAGAGGTCAAGAGTCTTGTTTTCATTCGAATTTCTGTTTTTTTTTGTTGAAGCAAAGAGACAAGTTTGGAAATGAGAAACCAATAAAAAGATTGTGAATGAAAAGAGGGGTCACCCTTTTCTCCTGAGTGATGAAGTGTATAGAAGACGTCAGTATATTAAAGAGCTGAGAGGAGCCAGTGGTGTTATCAATGCTTGCAGTAGGAATTGTGTAGGTGTAAGACAGCAGCCTACTCCAGTGTAATGGTGGTCATACTCTCATTGTAAAAGCTGGTCTATGAGCCTTTTTATTAATCATATTAGCTATGTGAAATGAATGTGCAGCTACAAAATTAAAGTGAAACCATCTGAATTGGAAGCATAAAAGAATCTGTTTATTACTGATGCAATGACCATATCTTTAATGGAAGAGATCCCAAAGGTGCTGACATTAAAGTGGGACAATAGCGATGGCAAATATCCTGTCCTCCAACTTTTTTTAGTTTATTAACTACAGCTGTTTCTTGTCCTGGATTTTCAAATAAATTAAATACAATTTCTTTTGTATCTTGTTTGTAAATGGAACCAAACACTTGTATAACTGAGCTGCTTCATAATATGCTTAATGCCACATCTATCCAATGATTTTGATGGACAAATAATGATTTGAAGAATATGAGTTGTTTTAACTAGTGGAAGTATATGCTGTAGAATTGTGTACCGTAACCAGCCTTTCCCACAAAGCATGCTAAGTGAGCTAAATAGCATGCTTCGCAATCACTACTATAATACAGTACATGGCATTTGGAGCAACTTTAAGAATTGATAAATTTTGATTGGAATCAGCTCACATGTTCTCTACAACATCAAAACTTGTATGTCTATGAGGAAAAAATTATAAAAATGGTGAATTCTTTCTCGCCATTTTGACGAAATTTGGCCAAAGTCCCAGTTCTAGTCCTACGTAAGTATTGTGCAATGTTAAAAATTCATAATAAATCTAAATTTGATCAGAATGAGCTCAAAGTTAATACACAACATGAGAACATGTATATGTATCATTTTAGCCATGTTTGACAATATTTGGCCAACAACATTTCATCCCGTAAATTTGTACTTTCTCAAAGCATACATCACTTCCAAGTGCCTTAAATGATGAATGTCCAGCCACTTTCATCATATTGGCCAAAAGTCATTTTCTCAATCATTGTCATATTATGTGGCCCTGCTCCATTAATTGTTTTATCAATTCGCCTTGGTGCTAGACTGATAGTGTTATGGTAAGCATGCACTAGCTTTGTCAAATGAATGATCCTGAAGCTGTGGCAGTATAGCCCACTTTTGGTGCTTCATTGTTGTCTCCCATCTTGAATTTGTTAAGAGTTAACATTTTTAATTCAACGTCATTTGACTCCTTAACACTCGTGAGTGTAATGAAGTGGTTAGCACGACAACTGGCATTTCTTGATGCAAGTGAGAGGCTAATTCTGACCATCAGTGCTTTATTTTGTAATTTTGTACTAATGAGGATCACGTCAAAATGGTCATACTTGGCAATATTTAACAAAATATTGCACTGACAGGTTTTCTGCCTGCAATCCAGCTTCAATGGAATTATATTCAAGTGAAGTGTCAGGAGTCAGTTTTGCCCCAGTATTGGGTACTCTGGTTTCAATTCCAACATTTCGACTTCATTAGTAGAACAAGCAATGGAGGTCGTTCCTTTCAACAAATTTATTTGCAGCTTATACATTTCAGCCATTCTAGAACTATAATTCAAAGAAAGGCCCAGCACAACAATAGATGACACCAAAGTGCCCCTTGTTAATAGTTGCACTCTTAGTGACCCAATCCATGTCTTACTTACAGTGTAGATTAGGAGCTTTTAGTATTATACAGTAGTATGTGCCTGAAGAGGAAAATCTACATCAAAACCTCACAGTGTCAACCCTCAACTGTCACTTAAGTAGCTGTTAAAATATAAGGGCTGGTCCTCACATAATGTATGGTGTATATATGAGATGGAGTCATACTGTTGGTGAATATTAATGCACTTATGATGGCTTCACTGCCTACTTAGTGACATTGTATGACACTACTTAGCTTCTAGTGTCAGGAAAAGCTGAGCACTGCTAGACTAGACACAAAAGACAAATCTTTGTTTTTTACTTCCACTAAGCAAAGAGATTTCAAGAAAATGTTAGCTCCTTCATCAGAAACTTTAAGCATGGAACTAAAATTAGAATGAATGTACTCCTGAAAGAATGTAGTGACGGCATTCACCCCTTTCATCTCATCACTATACTGTCGTGCCATCACAGTGCAAGAATCAAGTATCAAGAACAATTGATGACTTAGAAAGGAATTGAAAGGGCATTGGAGATAAAGCTGAAAGAAAATACCTAAGTAAAGGAGAACCTGTTCTTGTGGTCTGTGAGGCAAAATTCTGATCCATTGATGTTAACTGATCAGATGAAGCTTGAAAGTGAGGAGCTCTGTGAAGCAGAGAGAAAGATTTATAGTGCAAGTATATATGTGTGTGTGTAATGCTGTGTAAACTTCTACTATCTCTAAATATATATTAAGCTATAAAGTTAAAATCTTTAAACATCCAACTACATGTACCTTTTTGGTATTAAACAGAAGTCAGGTATTGATTGGTGAAACAATGACACACCTATGTCATTCAGTGCTATATTGCCCATTAGTAAAGTACTCCTTTTGTTGAATCTTGTAAATTCTTCTATATCCTGACTATAAAAATGCTTAGCAGCCATAATTAAATGACCGATAAAGTGACGTTACTTTTTCTTCTGTAAAAACTTGCAAAGCCATTCATTCAATAAAGCCCCATCTACTGTGACTAATTTGTGCTGGTAATACAGGATCTACAATACATAGCAAATCATTCACATCAGATATTTTAGATTCATCATCCAGCCTAGCACAGACATACTTATGTAGATTTATCTCTGTTCCTGGGCGTAGCGATTATTTTCACCTCTTAGGCTCTCCGACTGAGTAGATTGTTGCTGCATCCTTAGAAGTTTCCTGGGAACAGTCCTACATATACTTCTTTCCTCTAAAGTCATTCCAGTTAATATTCTAATTCCCAGCTGATGTATTTTACTAACAAAGTCCACAGACACTCCCATCATGAGACTAAGGCCAATAGCCAAGGTCAATATTCCTATTACAAATGAGTAATGAAATTAGAGTGTCTTACTGATAAGTAACATTTTACTCTTCGAATGGCCACTGCAAGTCTAATGCCTCCTCCGAAACAACTACCAGGCCTTTGTCTATTTTGAACTCCAGAAAGTACAAGGTTTTGGAGTTGTTTGTCACAGTTCTTGCTGTCATCACACTGTACAATAATTGTTGTACCCACACTCATTGTACTCTCACTTGGAGACTTTGGCAAGCTCTTAGTCTGCACAGTGGCCTCAACTACTTATATAGATAGTTAGCTGAAATACTTTTCAAATGGCAGATTAGTGAATATGTGTGCTACTATATACTTACTTTATGATTTTTTAGCTACTTTATCCTGGAATATCAATATCATTGTCGTACGTTTCCATAGCATATTTATACAATAATTCCTTGGAAACAAGTAAATGCTTTTATCGCATGTCCTTTTATTGTTCTTGCACAAAACTTGTCTTTGTTGGATGGATGATTAAAATGGCTAGTTTCTTTAAATGTCTCCATACAGGTTACTTTTCATATTTTAATCCGGTGAAGCATTTGACCTTATTTGCATAGAAAATTGTTTGGTATTTCATGGAAACTCTCTTAGTTGTACAGCTCTAAATTCAAAATACATGTATGACATCCTCCAGTTCTCCTTAACTTTGATCCTGAGCTTGAGCCAATCTCTGATATTTGTTTGGTGGGAATGGCGTTATCAGGGAAAATTTTCCTCAAGTCCACAAAGAGACCAGCCCTAACTTTGTCTACTACTTTTCCAGGTATTGGCAGCAGCAAGGGTGAAACAATAACCCCAGGAGATACGTACATGTATGGTCATAAATGACCATTAACTGCCATACTTACTATTAAAATAAATTCCCCTGCAAGCCTGGACCTCTTCCTCCTCCTGACTTCCAGTTCATTGTGTCCCCAGGCTCAGGCTGTCTAACCATTATATATATATACTTATAGTACCTGGTAACTCTGACCATAGATTAGATTGCTTCCTGCATTTGTGGCAGTTTGGCAAGCATCTGCTGCTGCAGGCTTATGTTCTGTCTCATTAGCTGTGTGTGATTGGCTAATGAGGCCATTTTTTGCCTCTGTACTTGTTGGGTATCTCTTTTTTCAATGAAGTACATTATACACATTATATAGATAATGTTAATTAAGTATCAATCCCCATTTTTAATACTTACCATTATAATTCCAAGAAGAAATTCCAGGAATTCTTGGAGGACTCCAAAAAAGTAAACCTCTGAGCAGCTATATAAAAAAATGAGAAAATGAAACTTATAAATATTGTTTCTCTTTTATATTTCCAACTATTGGTAACTAGATCAAGTTGGTTAATGTCTTGTTTGAAATTTTGGTTTGTAGACCAGTAGTGTCAGGATCAATACTTTACATCATCAGAGTAGATCCAGTGTTTGTGGTACATGTAAGTGTTAATGCCAATGAACTAATCGGTGAATTTTGCTCTTGGTTTTTATACACCATTAAAGCACAATAAACCTTGTGTAGTTGTACTTTAGGAGGAATTGATGTACCCAATGATGTCCCTCATTACAAAGTGTTCATTGGCTGACATTTATTGTTTTAGGCTCTTAATCACTATTCCATTGCCCTCGACTTTCATAATTTTGAACTCCTCAGCATAATTCTGATGAAGACTAGCGAATTTCCAGCTCACTCTCATCTAATTCTTTTTCTTCCTTTTTATTGTTTTTTTTCTTTATAGGCTGCAGCTAATATCATAAGATGATTTCTGGTTTTTTCACTATTGCTGCTGCAGTTGTCATTCTATTGTGCATCACTGATCAATGCACAGCTCAAACTACTAACTGCTCTGCTCTGGCCAGTAATGGTGACTGCAGTTTCTATGATTGCTTGAGTGCTAATATCCAGTGCACTGCTAATGATTATCCTCATGCTTATGGCAGAAAGTATTGTCTCAGATATGCCAGTGAGTCAAGTTGCTTCTCAACTGGAGTAAGTACATGCACCTTATGGCATCATACCTATACATATTTTGGTCTTGCTACCCAAGCCCTCTGCCTACAGCAAGACTATACATATGTAGCATTCAGTAATAGAATTATATATAAAATTATTGTAGTAACAGTTATTATTGTTTAATGTAAACTGTCAATCTGTCAGAATAACAATGAATTTTGCCACTCCTTACTACCAAAATGGCTTATATCCCATTACCTTATTTGTGACAGAAAGATGCACATTTAAATAATATGAAGAACTAGCCTAATATAGTATCAGTTATAACTTCTTAATATGGCAATGAAGGGAATGCATTTAAAGCATAAACAATTAATCTAATGTAGTGTCGGTTATAACTATTTATAGCAATGATAGCAGCAACATGCATAAGGAATTTCATTGTTTATTGTAGTAATTAAGCTATGAATTTCAGGAAAAACATATTATCACATTAAATTTAGGGTCAGGCATGGATTACCGTATTTGCCTGATTAGAAGCCCAGCTTAAATAAACACCCATCCTTAAAATATTCTCACTATAGATGCGGATATTATAGCCAATTTAGATAACTACAACTTCAGATTGTTCCAATTAGCTTAACTCTTGAAGCACAGTCTGATGAGCTAGAGGACATGGGTTTGATTCCCTCTTTTGGCAACTTTTTTTTTTCTTTTCACACAATTTTTTTCCTTGTTAATGAATAGACGCCCGGGCTTCTAATCAGGCAAATACGGTACTAATTTTTGTAGATGTTTGATGTAGTCTATTGTTAATAGTTCTCTCTATATAATCAA